CCGAAGGCAGACGCTTAATGACTGAGCCACCCAGGCGCCCCATGAATTTTATTTTTAGAGTTATAGATAAGTGCTTGAATTTGACTTTAAAATATCCCTTTTTAGTTTGTTGCTTAAAAATTTACAGACTCATGAAGCAGTGTCTCAATAAAATACACACAGGTTTACTTACATACGGTGGGACATAGGGGTATGTGGGGTGTATACATATATATGTTTTTAGAAATGCTTTCAAGCACATGTTTGGAAGAAGAGAAACAGTCCACTTTAGTCAAACATAATCGATGCTTAGGATTCAGCATAAAGAGCTGTTATTTATGTTATTAGGCTGTCCTCTTCCAGTGTATTTTGCCTGATGGCATTCATGTGAATGGGTTAGATTTCAAAATAGATTTCAGTTAGTGTGTTCATTGAGATGTAGGTAAAGTGTTCAAAATGCCTTTTTCATGAACATAAAATGTTCTTCCAGGACTGTGTTTCTCTAACACTTAGACTGACACCATAGTACCTTTGTGGATCGTTGCATAGTTTAGTAATGGAGTTCACTTTGAGATGTACTCTGTTACAGGAACTCGAAGAGGGCATCAGCAGCCACCAGCCCAGTTTTGCAGCCCTGAACAGAACCGGGGATGGGATTGTACAGAAACTCTCCCCCATGGATGGAAGCTTCTTGAGAGACAAGCTGGCAGGTTTAAACCAGCGCTGGAGTGCGATCTTTGCAGAAGTGAAGGACCGGCGGCCAAGGTGATTTAGCTGTGATAACTCGAGGGCACGGGGTAAAGAGATTTTGGCAGAGCCTTTTAAGATGCAATTAGATGAGTTCAAAATTCTCCGATTGTCTGATAGGAGTTGTACTGACATTTAAGACCTCCACTGCGATGTTCTATATTTTTAGAACGTTGTCTCTTACTGTATTTTTAGGCTATCTGTAAAGTCTCACTTTTCTACTCAGATGTCCTACAATGTGAAAGATATCTTTCTTTATTCCTCTCGTTTCTCACGTTTTATTATGATATGGTGACTTTGTGGCAGGAATTTGAAGTAGGTGGGGAACAGTCTGGACTTGTGGTCTGAAGATCTGGGTTCAGGGTCAGACTTCTCACTCACTCATTTCCTGACTGGGTCTTGGAGTCTTCCTCTGAAATCCCTCTTACTTGGTTGTTCTTAATGTCAAAGGGTGTGTTACATCCATATATGCCAGTGCTTTGTAAATAATACAATTCCTCATCTATGTAATATAATAAATACGATGAATTATTGTTTGCTTTTATGTCAGATTCTGTTAAAATGCCCAGATTTTATTAGGTGTCTTCTGGTTGCAAACATGTTTGATTACCAGTGAATATAATACTCAGCATTACAAATTATTTTGTATATTACCTTAAAATTATTTGAAGTTATTTTTGAGACAGTCAAGATTTAATGGTTGATTTCTACTTTGCATGACACATTTTACTTCATTAACGATCTTCTTTTTAGGTTAATGGTAGTTTGGGTTGAAAAGTCTCCCATTTTTTTCCTGCTAATTTTAACTCTGTAGATGCTGTATTGATACAGTGATAAGCTATTGTTTGTTATAAAGACCAAATTAATATTTTATCAAGTCCAGTTTTACAGTGTAAAATATAACATAAAATATGGAACTATGAATATTTGGCCTATGGCGGCTTTTTATAAAATCACATCATCTGTTGTTTTGTGTGTTTTCGTAAGAGGCAAATAATGGTTTGTGCATTTGGGTTGAGAGATTGCCTGTGGCTAGCGACCGTGTTTGGCACCTGGCACACATTGTTTCATTTTATCCTCTCAACTGCTCTAGGGGGGCTTAGACCCATTGTACAGCTTTTGAAACTGAGGCTCAGAGGGGAGAGCTTAAGTAGCTTGTCCAAGTCTCACAGAAAGTTAGTGATGGCATGAACTTAGGCTCTTAAATACTGTGCTTGAACAAATTCTGCAAGACCACAGAGCTCTCCGGCCAAGTTTCCTCCTCTGTAAATAAGAACTGTGATAACTTCTCAGAGGTGTTATGAGGATTAAATGAGACAGTGTTGGTAAAAAGGGTATTCCCAGACTGTTCATAGTAAACACTCAAAATATCTAGTTCTTACAATAGCAAGTTAAACTAAAACTTATTCTCTAAGCATGTTATTGCTGAATTTTGCCAATGATCGATTGATTTGATCAATATTTATTGAGTTTTGTGTTTAGCCTTAGGGGTGTAAATATGACTTAGGAACTCGGAGACTAAGATGAAGAAAATGTTTAAAGGGACGAAGGATACTGTGTGATTAAAGAGCTCATCATTAGGAAGATACAATGTCATCACAAAGGCAGGGATGATGGGATGGAATTTAGGCATCCCAGGGGAGGGATCCTGAAGCTGAGTTTTGAAGCGCTTGTAACAATTTCCCGTAAGTTCACCCTAGCGAGGACCTTCTAGGGAAAAGACTAGAACAGGCAAAGGTGAGAGGCATGAAGTAGCATGGCCAGGTGAGAGATCTGCAAAGTTACATGGTAAGGAGGGTTCAGGGGACCAGGGGTGCAATTGGAAGCTGAGGTCCCATAGGGTTTTATGTGCCATGCTAATGAGTTTGCATGGAGAGTCTTTATAGCTTGAAAATCATCTAGCTCCCAGGTCTTCTTAAGGAAAAAGATGTGCCTGCTGGCATGGTATTAGCAATAATAGCAGAAATTCTCCTGAAGATTTTCAAATGGATCTCAATGTGGTCGTTATTGCTCCCGGAACTAATAAGGTGAAGCTAATACATATTTTACTCATCTTGGGGGTGAGATAAGAATAGTGAATCTCTTCTTCAACATCTTGTATTTTAACTAAAGCAATATTTATTTTCATAAATTTATGTTTAACTTCATTTCAGGTTATAACTTATCTTAAATTGGGGCCACCTTGCAATTTTAAGAGCTTGTATGTGTACTCTTACCAGAGTCGTTAAGGAGTAGCACACAGTTTAATTTGTTTTTATATTGAGTGCCTGTAGTTAAATATTTGCACAGTTCATCAACTTATGCCATTATTCCTTAATGAGCAATTGTTATCTCCTGTTTGAACATAAATTTATAACTTGTTTTTACTCTTAGTGATAACATTTAAAATGTGGATTATATTTAGCTAGTTTGAGGATGAAAACTTTGTGTGACTCAAATATGTCTCTTGAAATTACTTTGATGTTAGTTTCTTTCATAGATATATTTTCAAAATATTGTTAGTCATGATTATGCAACATTGGGAATATAAGTTCCAACTCTTTTTTAAATACAAGTTTTCTAATAGTATTTGGGTGCTTACAAAGTTGTTACTTAAGTTAACGAATCTTCGACATAGAGGGTAAATTACCTGTCTTAGTATTGTCAGTCTTTAACAATTAGTACCATTGCTTGATTGATTGAGTTTAATCTTGAAGCAGTGTTCTCTCCTGATGGATACTTAAAAATGTAAACTTGTGATTTTGTAGTGATTTTCATTCATTTTTAACATCAAAATACTCTCCTTCAAGTATTACTGTGTTAAATACACAAATATTTCTTTAGCATTTGATTATAGTTATATATTGTATCATATGTTAGGTTTTTTGTGATTAAAAAGCCATAGCCATAAAAAATGTAAATTTTTATTCAGGATGACACAATGCAATTCATTAAAAAATTGCATTCCATTTTTAAGCTAGCAGCTAATAACTACAACTATAAAAATAATGATACCACCACCAAGCTGTAAATAGCTTTCAAACCCTCTCTGAAAAATACATAATCTTACTCATCATGAGTTCTAGTCATATTCTCATCTTCTGACAGATGGTTTATATACTTATGAATGTTATTCTTATAACATTTAAAAGATCTAATTAAGGCAGTTCCTTTTTTATATTCATATGACTATTTGTTTCCTTATATCCTTTAAAACTTGTTTTTTCTAGATCTCCTTTTATAACTTGGTGCTATATTCAAATACAATACTTATTTTAACGAGCTAACCAAATTTTCATTTTTTTCTTAGTCTTTCCTAATACTTGTAAAAATTTTCCATTCTCAGTATCTTGCCTTGTTCTTACTCTTTCTTTCCTATGAATAAAGTAGAGTAATAGTTGCTACTTAATGTGAATAATATGTCATATAATGATGACTTTTTATCTCCATCCACTACTCAAAGAGAATTATGTGTTTTTCCTTATTTTTTGAGGCAAAGACATTTTTCTTTCTTTTTTTTTAACTTCCATTATGTTGTACAATGGTCTCTAGCTTTAAAAATATCTGTTGTATTAAATTTCTGCAGAATTTTTCTTGATGAGAGAAGATAATGTATATAGTTTCAATATTTTTGAATTTAATGAAGGTAGAATTTTTATTCTCATATTATCAAGAAATCTTTGGTATTGCAGAATGTATACACTAGTTAACACTCATTTAAAAATATATATTAAAATAATTATTAGGAATTTTTGTGTGTGTGGTGTATTTAGTCGGGATATCCAAAGCAAATATATAATGTTCTGCCTAATTGGATAATTTCTGTCAGTGTTTTTCAATAATATATTCTTTTAGGCTTAAAGGAGAAAGTAAGCAGGTGATGGAATATAGAAAAAGACTAGATGACATTATCTGTTGGTTAACAAAGGCCGAGAATGCTTTGCAAAAGAGATCAACCACTGAGCTGGAAGAAAACCTGCAAGAATTAACAGTAAGTGGTTTTTTTGTCTCTGTATTTGCCAATGCTTTTTGGTGCATGAACATTTACACTAAAAATTAAATACTACATGACTGAAGAAGAAAAGGGGAAGAAACTTTGTACTCTGTGGTAAATGTGGTAAACTTTCAAGAGGATTTTTTTTTTTTTTTAAGAGCAGCTATAATTTTGTTCTTGCGGAGGTAAGGTTTCACTCATAGAGAAGTGGTAAATCATATGGTCTCAAGTATTAGACCGAAGATTTTTAGGCTATTTTAAACAGACTTCATCATTTTAGAATATAGTAGTACTGTGAAGTATAGTTCTTTGCTTTTAGATTTAGAAGATAATTACTGATTACTAGATATAAAATTGAGTTTTACAAGAAAACTCTGACTTGAGAGTCACTCACCTCAGCTTACTTCAGGCTTAGCATCACACTTTTACTAATCAAATTTCCTTTGTTGATCCACAACCAACAAGAATTGTCTATAGTTGTATATGTATACAATATGTAAAAATACATAACAATGAGTATATGTAAATATATCCAAATATCCATACATTTTTTATATCTATAAATTTTATATTTTTGTGTCAAGAATTAAAACACTTGTTGCAGAACAGTAAGATTAATGTGCTCATATTTTTACTAAAAAAAAAGGAATTGTGTGTGAGTGTTGATACACACATGCATGCATCAAAGTATGCCTAAAAGGATACCCGCTAATTTGATAAAAGATTTTAAGGAGTACGATTAAGGCATTTTGGGAAAGAAACGCTTAATAATGATGAAAAAATATGTGGCAAACAATTACTAAGTTTTCTTTTCAAAATGTGACAAATACTTAACAAACTTCTTCCTGTTTTATCTAAAAATTTCAATAGTTTTCTTGGAACATCCCATTTTGTAAACAATTTGGGGCAGTCACAAAGAGTGGGACAGTATATTAGGATAGGTAGGTAGAGATGAGGTAGAGATGGATGCCTAAAGTGTTCCTGTTGTTTCTTTCTTTTGCCTTTGATTAGAATAGACATTATTTTCATTATCTAAGAACAGTATGTTAAAGTATCAATGTAAATATGATATAATATGACCCTGTTAAGAGATGGGGGTCAGGGGAGGGACCGGAGCGCAAGTTCATACAAATACGCACTGCAAGTATGTGTTCATTCCCATATCAGTTAGAGTTTGTTAACATAAGTTCAGGCTTCTTATAAGTTTATTTTCCAAGAAAAGTTAAAAACATTAGAAGTCCACATTCATAAGAATATTTCCCAGAGAGATTTCTGATACAGTTCTTGAACTTTTCCCAGTATGACAACTTTCTAACTGCAACTCTATTCTGACTCTTTTAGGACTTAACCCAGGAGATAGACGTACAAGCTGAAAAACTCAAATGGTTGAATAGGAATGAATTGGAAATGCTTTCAGATAAAAGTCTGAGTTTACATGAAAGAGAAAAAATTTCAGAAAGCTTAAGAACTGTAAATTCGACATGGAATAAGGTGTGCATTATTAATTACTGTGATGACTTTCTCATGGTTATTGATTTTGTTGTCAAAGGAGTGAGATCGTGTAACTGTTTTGTTTTCAAGTATACCCAAATTTGGGCACATTTTATTAATGCTTACTAACGTTTGTAATTATTATTTTTTTCATCTGTCATGGACAGAAACCTATATCCTCAGAATACTTTTTATTTTATGTGGGATATTTTGTCTGGGGATCTATATGTTTTATGCTACATTAAATAATGAATATATATTAGAATTAGCCAATACAATACCATATAAAATCATAAAATTGTAAATTAAGAGCATTAAAATAATGCTCTGATGTTGCACATGACTTCTCACATATGTAGGTTTATTTTAATGATTTTATTCATTTAATTATTTTTATTTTTAATGATTTATTCATTTATTCATATGTTTACTAGGTTCCAGGTGGAATGTAATAACATGTGGTACAAATGACTAAGATGAGGTCCTTTCCCTTGTGCCATTACTTTTTTTTTTTTGCAGTTAAAACAATTAAAAGCAGATAAAATCATAGATTTCTATTTCTTTTGCCCTGGAACATACCATATCAGAATGTGAGGTCTGTCTGAGACAATGTATATGTCTCTGTCCCTGGATAGATCCCTTATCAGTCATTTTTTCCTTTCTTGATCCCCTTGAAATGATAGCCATCATCCTATATCTAATGATGCAGATGCTTTATTGATCTAGACTCTCTGAGAATTACTGCATTGATGAGTCAGTGTTACTGATGACTCACACATGTATATCTTGGGCCTTGACCTCTCTCCATACTCTAGACTTACATGTACAATGGCCTGTTCAGCATGTCCACTTGGCTATGTAATAGGTGTCTCAAACATACAAAATCGAGCACCTGATCTCCACCTCCTCCCTGTGCTTTACTTTACTTCTCCCACCTCAGTTGCTAGTAATTGCTCATTATTGTTTGGTCAGAACCTTTGGAGTCAATCTTAGGTGAATTATATTTCACTTTAAAAAAACTCCAAAGCTTGGAGTCATCACCAGCGTCTCCTTCAAAATACATATCTGTTTGATGGATGGTTTGATGGATGGCTAGATGGTTAGATACATGATAAAGTGAATATAGCAAAATTCTAACAGTTGTCGATGTTGGGTGGCACATTGGGTATTCCCTGTACATTTTTTTCAGCTTGTTTTTAGGTTTGTAGAATTTCCTAGGTTTGACTGCTTTTCATGAACCTCATTGCCACTAACTTGTTTTTAAGCCATCATCATCTCTTGTCTTGATTTCTGCCATGGCCTCCTCACTGATGTCCCTGCTTCCTCCTTTGCCCTTTGTCAAAGCAGCCAAAGTATTTGTTAAAACAATTCAGATCAAGTAACTCCTCTGAGCAAAGCCCGCTAATGGTTTTCCATCTCACTCGGAGGAAAGGCTGAATTTCTTAATGTGACTTAATAGGCCCCTGATGTTCTGGCTTCCTGTTTTTTCCCCAACTTCATCTTCTCTTCTCTCTCCCTTACACTCCTGTCTGGACATGTTGGCTCTGTGTCAGACATGCCAGACTCAGGTTGTGTATATCCAGTCGGAGCACACATCTTTTCTTAACCTAAAGGATGTCAGTAGACATTGTGTAGAATAGGGCACCCTGGTTAATTTGGGAGCACTGTGTTAGACAAAGCTGAGACTTCCTTTATCATAGGATTTCATGTAGATTTAACTCAACCTAGGTGAATTATAAGTGTCCAATATCAGACAGTGCTTACTGTGCAGAGAATTTTGATAAACGCACTTTGGGAAATACTAACCTGGGGTATTTCATTCATGCATGCATTTATTCATCAGAGTTTTGGACTGGACTCTTTCATTTTGAGAACTAGGAATCCAGCAAAGAGTATGACACTGCTTCTAACCCAAAGAGTTTATTGTGGGTGAGACAAGTAACCAAGCAATTGTAAGGTAGAGGTATCCACAGGGACACAAAGGTAGAGCACTTACCTGGCTTTGGGAGGTAATCATGGAAGATTTTGTGGAGGACATCATATCCATGTGAATTTATAAAGAATGAATAAGTATGGATCAGATGAAGAATGGGGGAAGGGGCATTGCAGGGAGAAGCAGCAGCAAGTGAAAGGGTCTAGAGGAGACAGAGAATAAGCATGGTGCATTTGGGTCCCGGAAATAGCTCAATGTGAAGTGGAAGGACGAGAGATGCTTGCAGAGACCAGATCCTAGCGGCCTCCCCATCATCACAAGGAATTTGAGCTCCATCTTGAGAACAGTTCACCACCTTGAGAGTAGTGGGCAGCTACTGATGGGTTTTAAGCAGAAGAAAATTACATTTTGAAAGATCACTATAGCTGCACAGTAGAGATGGATGGAGTGATCCTAAAGATGGAGAGCCTTAGGACATCAAGATATCAAGGAACTCCTCCGAGCAAAGACCACTATCCAGGACAGGAAAACTGATCTGAGAAGATCAATGAGTCATTAGACAACCTTGTGAAGGGAGTGTCAGGGAAACAGATGATGAATTCAGATTTGGACATGTCTGAATATCCAGTTGACAGAGTGAGCTGGACTAAAGATATATTTTTTGGAGTTTTCAGCCTTTTAAGGCTCCATATGATAAATGAAACCATTAGAAATGAGGACCCAGGGAGAGAAGCCAGGGCCAAGGGTAAAAAGACCAAAAAAACCTCCCGTGTAGAATGTCAGTATTTGATGGATTGGCAGAGGAGAATGAGCTGGTGAAGGATGCTTAGAAGATCAGTCAGAGAGGGAGGCATTAAGTCAGGATTGCAGAATATTCACAGTATCTCAGGGAGAGGAAGGGACAGCATTTAGTGTTCCAAAGGGCTAGGACAGCTAAGGACTGGCTGGCACTCTTCACCATAATGTTGGTGGAGGGGGCGCTCTGGGAAGACTGCAGTGGATATGAAGGTGGAGACAGAAGCTCAGGCGTTGAGGGGGATGAAAAGCAGCAGAACTATCACTTAGAATAACACTTCCTCTTTCAAAAATATAATCGTCTTTATTTATATAGTATTCTCCTCTTTGTTTGGCCTGATGCTGTAGATATGCAGAGAAGTGCCTAGCACATTGAAGGAACGCATCCAGGAACCTTGTTCTGTGTCTCAGACAAGAATTGCTGGTAAGATACAGTTTACTTCTTCACAAAAAATGTTTATAAGCATAGCAAAATTTTATGATGGTAAGTATAATGTCAGAAAAACTTATTTAAAAACACAATGCAATTGTGATTTATTATTCTACTTTTCAATATTTTGAAAAGAATGTGTTTTTTTTTTTTTTAAAAAAACAACAAAACGTATTTCACTGCCTAGTGTGTGCAAGGCATTCCTTCTTTGGTAGTTAAGACTTCTCACCTTTCCTGGGCCTAGAGTGGGATATGGGCCTCCTACGCGGAGGCCCCTGAAGGCAAGGGGAACGCAAGGTGGGTGAATGGAGGGATAGTCTTCTGGAGACATGCAGTTTTTCAGGACATCAGCTATAACCTGCTGTGTCTGCTATGTTAACGTGTTCTGGAGTTGTGTTAATTAGACACTGATAATGACCGAAAACAAAAAGTTTGGGTGGATATCCTGGGAATCAGGTGAGAGGTGGGGATTTAGAAGAATTCTCCACCCCAGGGAAGGTCTTTACTGACAAATGCTGATCACTAAGATTTGAAGAAAGAAGAGTTTTCTCACTCTTTCATTTCCTTCTCTCCTTGTCTGGAGTAGAGGGCAGGCTACTGCCCAGTAGCCACTGTGGTCACTGCTCATCACAGCCTTACAGGCTCTGGAAACCTCCTTGCCCTGCTCTCCCTCTGTTGAGTCACCAGGCAAACCCCCAAGTGTGATGAACCCTAACTTTCCACTTCTTCTGTGCCAGCTATGGGGCTGCTGCTGATTCCCTCCCTCCTCCTCTTCCTCTCCTTCCCCTCCACCCATCATCCTTCTCTCGTCTTCCCTCCCCCTCCACTTTTTCCTTGTCCCTCCCCCACCTCCTGTTTCTTCTGAGGATTCTGAAAAAGTGTTGAGTGACAAGGTTTTTTAAAAACTTTTTTGAGATCACAAACTTGGTGAGAGCCAAGTTTGTAATCTGTTTTACTTATATTTCCCAGTACCTCGCCCCCCAAATACCTGGGGCCTGATAGGTCTGTTGATTATATTCAAAACACTTAAATTAACATTTGGGTACTGCGGCTTTGCAAACACAAGCTCAACTCTATACCTACAGGGAACAGACTTGATACATTTTATGAAAGAGCAATAGGTTATCTTACCTTTTGAAGCATCATTATGACAAAGGAACAGAGAACATTTTAATACACAAAATTTTAATACACATTTAGAAGTATAGCGACACTACGCCTTCAGTGGGTGGGTAGTTCATTCTTAATAAGATACTCGTCCCTGGGACAGGTATGAGACCTGAAACTTATTTCAGTGTGTCCCTCTCCTCCTACACAGTGTTCTAATTCAATTTCTTCTTTTTTATTATGTTAAAAAAAATAACCATTTTAAAGTGAACAGTCCAGTGGCATTTAGTACATATGCTTTATTGTGCAATTACCACCTCTGTTTAGGTCCACAATATTTCCATCACTCCAAAGTAAAACCTCTTACTCATTCAGCAGTGTCTCTCCATTCCACTCTACCCCCACGCTGTGCCGACCACCAGTCTATGGTCTGTCTCCATGGATCACCTATTCTGGGTATTTCTCGTACAGTGTTTCTTTCACTTGGCATATTGTTTTTGAGGTTTATCCAGGTCAGCTTCTTGCTGACCCTCCTCAAATGGGTGCTCAGCACTGAGAGGCAATCCTACTGTACTTTTCTCTGAGTGCCCCTTGCTACCCATCTCTCAACTAATGACCTTTTCTCATTTTTAAAAGACAAAAATACTTTTTGTCCAACAAGATCTTCTTTTTCCCATCAGAGAATCTCTATAAGTAGGTTTACCTACTACATCTGTCCTCACACACTGTGCATACTTCCTTCCTATCCCATGGAAGATTTATCTCTCTTTCTTTCCAAGATCATTTCTTCCACTTGGGCTTTGGCTCACATCTTCTTTTGGCTTTTTACTTCCCCTCTTTCTCTCCTCTACTGGATCCTTCTCACTAGCATACATTTTGATGCCGGCAGCTCTGGTCTGTGCATTTTCACTGATGTGTCATGCTCCACCACACAGATCCACCGCGGTCCTCAGGACTGTCTCTTCTAGTGTGCTCATCAGTCCCATGACTTTAGCCACTTTTTAATTTTAGAGGGTTTAACCAGTTCTTAGGCCAGTACACTTGAAGTCACCCTTGACTCTTCTCCAGATTTCACATCTAATCCGTCAGCAAGTTGTCAGTCCCGTGTCTCATCCCAGCTACTTCCATGGTCTTGAACGCCCTCATCTTTCATCTGTGTTACTGAAATAGTCTCCTTTCTCACTGTCCTGATTCTGTTCTTGCCTTTCCACTCTTCCATAATCTATTCTGGTAGCAGCTAAGTCACGCTTTATAAACATACGTTTTATTGTGTCCCTCCTGGCTCACCACAATCTTGTTCTCTCTTTCATCATCCATACTGAGTGCTGAAGTCTTACTGTGGTCCAGAAGACTGTGTATGATCTGCCTGCTGTCCATCCCTCTAATCTCATTTCTTATCACTTTTCCCTTTGTTTATTCTACTTCAAACACACACGGGTCTACTTGCTATTTCTAACATGAGAACGTTTCCATTTATGGCTTCTGTGCTTGCTGTTCTTTCTTCTTCAGATGTCTTTTTTTCAGGTATCTGCATGTTTCACACACTCCTTTCATTCAGTTCTCTCCTCAAATGTCACCTCAGCTAGGCCTTTCCTGACCTTGCCCACCATATCTCCAATACATCCTGTCTCTCTCCATCTTCTTATATTGGTTTTACCTCATATCCTCTGTCCACCTACCCCTCCGGAATGCAGGCTCTGTGATGGCGGGCTCTGTGTCTTGCCCACTCCCATCCTGCAGCATCTAGAATAGTGCCGTGCACACAGTACATCCCTACTAGGTATTTGATGGTTTGAAACAAGGAATGAATATTGAGGTTGTTTGGAGTGTTTTGAAACTATAAAGTGACAGTGAAGATGGGGCAGAGTGGTATATGAGGTATTCTGTAGGGTATATAATGGTAGAATTACTGGGTCAGAGAATATGGAGAACTTTTACTTGACTAGATCCTGTCTAGACAGCCTGTTGCAGTTCACCCTTCCACCAGCCGTGTGAGGGTTCTCATTGTTCAACATGTTATCAGCGCTTCAACATTGTGTTCTCAGGACCCCTTTACACTTAAAAAATTATTGAGGACCCTCAAAGAGCTTTCATTGTGTGAGTTATGTTTATAAATATTTACCTAATCAAAAAATAAAACAGAAATTTGAAGAATTATTTATTAATTTGTTTAAAGTAGCAATAACGAATCCATTTATTATATGTTAATAAAAATAATATATTTTTATAAATATATTGTTAGAAACTAGTTTTTCTAAGACAAAAACAAATTTAATTAGAAAAGTGGCATTGCTTTACATTTTTGAAAATCTTTTAGTTTCTGGCAAATTAGAAGACACCTGGATTCTCATATCCACTTCTGCATTTGGTCTCTTACTATAACACATGCCATATAGCCTTGAGTAAAAAAAACACTCAAAACCACAATGAGATACCACCTCACACCAGTCAGAATGGCTAAAATTAAACGACAGATGTTGGCGAGGATGCGGAGAAAGGGGAACCCTCTTACACTGTTGGTGGAAACGCAAGCTGGTGCAGCCACTCTGGAAAACAGTATGGAGGTTCCTCAAAAAGTTGAAAATAGAGTTACCCCATGACCCAGCAATTTCACTACTGGGTATTTACCCCAAAGATACAAATGGAGTGATCCAAAGGGGCACCTGCATCCCAGTGTTTATAGCAGCAATGTCCACAATAGCCAAACTATGGAAAGAGCCCAGATGTCCATCAACAGATGAATGGATAAAGAAGATGTGGTATATATATATCTACAGTGGAATACTACTACTCAGCCATCAAAAAAAGAAAAATGAAATCTTGCCATTTGCAATGATGTGGATGGAACTAGAGGGTATTATACTACGCTAAATAAGTCAATCAGATGGGGCGCCTGGGTGGCTCAGTCGTTAGGTGTCTGCCTTCAGCTTGGGTCATGATCCCGGGGTCTTGGGATTGAGCCCTGCATCGGGCTCCCTGCTCTGCAGGAAGCCTGCTTCTCCTTCTCCCACTCCCCCTGCTTATGTTCCTGCTCTCGCTATCTCTCTCTCTGTCAAATAAATAAATAAAATTAAAAAAAAAGAAGTCAATCAGAGAAAGAAAATTATCATATGATCTCACTCATGTGGAATTTAAGAAACAAAATAGAGGATTGTAGGGGAAGGGAGGGAAAAATAAAACAAGATGAAATCAGTGAGGGAGACAAACCATAAGACACTCAATCATAGGAAACAAACTGAACGCTGCTGGAGGGGAAGGGGGTTAGGGGATAGGGTAACCGGGTGATGGACATTAAGGTGGGCACGTGATGTAATGAGCACTGGGTGTTATATAAGACTGATGAATCACCAAACTCTACCTCTGAAACTAATAAAACACTGTATGTTAATTAATTGAATTTAAATTAAAAAAAGTTTAAAAAACACTCTACACTTGGGAAAGAATGAATGTGAAAAGGCAAATCACTTATTATGATAATCATAATTTGGGCATCCACAGCCCTTGGAAGGGTTTCTGGGTACCTGTGACCTATAGAGAGCGATAGGGCATTTCATTTCAATTTGCTTTCCCCAGACGCCTGTGTGACAGCCTTTTTTTCATGTTTCTTTCTTTCTTGCTTCCTCTTTCGTGGATTGTCTTTTAGTATTGTTGGAGTTTAAAAAATTATTTTGGTTACAGATTTCTTGTTTAGAGTGTGCATTGCAAATACCTCTCAGTCTATGGCTTCTAACATCTTTATTAATGGTGCTGTTTTCAGAATTCTTAAATATTAATGGTCTATTAATAGCTTCCCCTTTTTGTGTGTTTTTAAGCATTTTTAGTACTCTGAAGTCATAAAGATTCTGTTTTTATGTTTTCAACTAACAGTTTTACAATTTTGGTTTTCATATTCAGGTCCTTCATCCACCAAGAATTAATTTTCCCAGGGTACATGTGAGGTCAAATTCTGTCCCTTCTCCTCGCTCCAGCCATGGGTGTCCACTCTTACCAGTATCATTTATTGGCCAGTAAATTCCTCCTCATTGATCTTTAATGCAATCTGTGCCAAGGTCAGGTTTCTCTGCCACCCATCCACTGTGGCTCTTCTCTTCCAGTGGCCTCTTTGAATGTCTGGGTCCATAAAACACTGAGTTAATCATTCATTATTAGCTAAGCGATACAACTAAATATCAAGTAGGGCTTAACCCTCCACCTGCTTTGACTGTTTGTGGTCCTTTTCTATATTGATTTGAAAGTCAGATTTTGAATATATGATTTTTGTCAACTTACACCCAGAATTGCTGGGATTTTTATTAGAATTGGGCTTAATTTACAGGTTGACTACATTTTTTAAAAAATTATTTAAGCCTCATTTAATATACCGTATGCTAAAGTGGATTCCAGATGGATCTAATAATGAATTCAATTCTCTCTTATATCAAAGTTAAAGAAAAAAAAAAAGCCAACCTCCCTTTCTTAAAAACAAAGCAAGACAAAAACAGGCAAACAAAAAATAGAAAAAAATATTTATCAAATCTTTGGAAAAGACAAGAGTCTAAGTTTAAAAGTTCTAGGAAAACAATCCCCCAAGACAGATTAATGGGTTTGATCACTGCAGGTTTGTTAGAATCTATATATTAAAAAGAAACAAAAATTAAATCCTAAAGTAGAAACATTGTTTTCAACAATATGGCAAAAGTTCATCTGTCTTGTAAAAAGAGTTCATCCCAACTGATAAGGAAGCAGATAAAAAACACAGTTATAAATTATACCATATTTGGTTAATAAACACAAACAATATTTGTCTACATTGACAATTAAAAAAACAATAAATGAAGACAGTGGTGAAGGATGTGTTTATCCACTGAAATAGAATATTGTTGGTGTGGATGTAGGAAGTTCATCAGTTCCATACCTGCTGTTGGAATTCCAGATTTCCAACTTTTAAGGAAAACAGTTTGTCAATAAGTATTAGCTACATTAACCGTTTTCATTTTCTGATCCAGGAATTCTACTTTGGGAAATTTACACTAAGGTGGTAATCAAAAAAGTGCAAATACGGTACATAAGAAGATAATCCTTGCACATTCCTTTTTGAAGTAACGATTTAAGTGTCCAGCTGCAGGATTAAGGGTTAACTGAAAGTTAGTGAGTATATACATAGATTATAACATAAGTATTCACAATGATTTCGTAGCTGGGGCCCAGAGGTGCAGGAACCCCTGGCTCCCGGCGTCCCAAACAGACTGAGTTTGGCCACTGGCTGCTGACAAAATCCAAAGGCAGAGAAACCAGTGGTGGTGAAAGAAGAAAGGGATTTATTTCAGTGAAATCAACATCAGGAAGACAGAGGACTAGTGTCTCAAAGACTGTCCCCAAAGTGCTGAAAAATCCTTCCAGGTTGATATAAGGAAAATGTGGGACAAAGGTCGGTGTGTACCTGCAGGTGGGCGGTAAAGGTCAAGTCAAACATCGTCCTGGAGTCAAGCAAGCAGGGACTTGCTGACTCAGGGCAGTTCTTATTGCTTGAGGGGGTTAGTTTAGCTTCCCATCAGGGGATGCTTTGCCCTCTGGGTCTTTTGCCTAAGTTTAGAGATACACTTGAAAGAAGAACTTAATCAATTAGAAAGTTTGAGGTCAAAATGGAGGTAGTGGAAGGGCTCTTTCAATTTTATTAAGAATGACTTATATTATCAAGTTAATTGGAAAAGAATAGAAAATTAGACTAAATTGACTTTATTTATAATGAAGGCAACCATCTTGACAAAATAAAATCGTGGTCCTAATTTTCCTATGGTTGATTTATTTTTTATTTTCTCCCATTTTTTAATTTTCTTTTCTCTTAGTGTCAGTGACTCCTGAGTTTTTGTGGCCCCAGAATGTTGTGGGACGATTTCATTGGCTTTATGACTACCACAGACCTATAGATACAACAGGAAATGCCATTGTCATTTTTGTATGAAAAAATCAAAGCTTCCTACAATTTTTTTTTACTTAAACAAAATTTTATGTAAATACACAGACACACATCACCACTAGGCCACCACAATCAGATCATCCTGTTGCTGTATTCATACTTTGCCACGGTTTTAAATTGCAGCTCATCCTGGTGTCCAAAAAGTGGTGCTAGTGTCCTCTGCGTCAGACATTGCTGCTCAGTCTCCTCGTACTTCGGAAATTTCAGTTCCTGCTGATCTGGATAAAACGATCACAGAGCTAGCTGACTGGCTAGTCCTCATCGACCAGATGTTGAAGTCCAACATTGTCACTGTCGGGGATATAGAAGAGATCAATAAGACAGTTTCCCGAATGAAAGTAAGTACATCGTGTAAAGGCTTGTCAGGGAAATACCACAACACAGAAACAGACAAGATCTGTTTGGATCTCCTTTGTTTGTCCTAAACTCTGGGAGAATGAGCTTTAAAAAACTCTTTATCTGTCAAACCACCATGCCATGTTTGGCTGGCTCCGAAGAGTAAAGCTTGTCTTGCCTTTCTAGTGTTAGTGAGATGAGGTTTACCAACGTGAAGTTAGAGACTCAGTGTACTTTAAAGTCTAAATCTGATACCCACAAAGTGAGGCACATCAATACAGAAGTAAATTCGTGTGAGATTTAATGCCTCGTGTGATGTGAGTTATTTTCCTGAAGCACCTTTTCAACTATTTCATAACAGGCTTATTTAATTGCTGACTTTAGAAGTGAGAATCTCCTGATTAGAATTTTGTCACTATATATATACCGTCTATTTTTTTTTAAAGATTTTATTTATTTATTTGTCAGAGAGAGAGCGCACAAGCAGGGGAAGCGGCAGGCAGAGGGAGAAGCAGGCTCCCCGCTGAGCAAGGAGCTCGATGCAGGACTCCATCCCAGGATCCCGGGATCATGACTTGAGCCAAAGGCAGACGCTTAACCCACTGAGCCACCCAGGTGTCCCCATGTACCATCTAATATAGATGTTCAGGATTCATTGTGTGCTAGGTTCTAGGCTATGTGTTGCATAGGGATACTGAAAAAAACATACCAGATAGAAATTGGGAATATACCATAAAATAATAACAGTAGTTATTACTAACTTTTATTAGGTGCTTAATGTGTGCTGGGTAGTTTTCTAAGTATTTTAAATGTATCATCTCATTCACTTTTTTAACAGTCTTTTGAGGTGGTATTGATTTTATCCCCAGATTACAAATATGCCCATGGTGAGGCGGAAGCACCTAGTGCACATAAGTGGACAAGTTGCTGCAGCAAGGCAGAATCTAAGAGAAGCCGTAGGATAGGTGCAAGCCACCTGATAGGGGAGCCAGGGTGAGGAAGGAGCTTAGTTCACAGCGGTGGAAGGCAGACTATGTAGGATTTTGACCTCTGGAGATGAAGTAAATGACATTCCTGATATAGGGAACAGGGTGAATAAAGACATGGGGCAGGGAAGCGTGAAGGACGCTGGGTCAACTTTGTGCAATAAAGAAGTGTTGTGGGAAGTAAGATAGCAAAGACAGGTTCAAGTTCACTTTGGGAAGGAGCTCATTGACCGTGTTTTAAGCATAGGCCCATTGGGCTTTTAGTCTGTAAGCAGTTGGCAAGCATCTTTTCCCCCTTTTCTTTTCCTTTTTTAATGGTGGCTGCAGACTAATGATAACAATGCCCTGCACTGATGAGAAGACTGGGATGCTTTTTAGTGCTTAGGATAAATTGGAGGCAAGAGATGCTTATTAAAGCAAGCAAAAGAGCCCTTTCTGAATGGCTAACATGATGCTATTGCAATTAGTAGAAATAAAGAATAGAAGAAATGGGGTGTGGATGAGGTTTGAGTGATTTAGTTTCAGATGTGTTGTGTTGAGAGGTTCTTGGGCCATTTAGAAGGAAATAATCAGCCTTCATTGAAATGTCTCTCTGGGATTCAGGATTAGAAGTTGTAAATAATCCATCTAGAAGTAATATTTGACACTTTTTAGGGCTAATTGAAATCTGCAAAATTAGTGAATTTATAAAGAGGAAGAGCTGGGAGAGAATCTTTGCCATCCTATTTGTACTTATTGGAAATTGTGTTTTCTAATCGTTACAGCTGTTTATTAGTTCTATGCTTAAAACACACTATATTCCTGATTTTTAAAACTTTTTGCCCCTATTTATTAGCACTTTGACAGAGTCTCTAGAGCAGCATTTTTCATGTCTGAGATTATTTAATTTTATTCCAGTATCATCTTTTGAATGTTTCACCCCCATCCTGTAGATGACATTAGTTTGTGTTTATATCTCATGTAGGGTGGACATGCAAGGTATCATCAGAAATCACTGCTAAGGTTTTCAGACCATTTTCTCATAGGGATTTTCTTCATTGAAGCTCCTCAGACTTGATATAGCCGAGCTGTAAGTTTTCTATTATTTCTTTTCATGAAAACAAAAACACAGAAAGTCAAGTGCCTTGCCAGGTAACCCAGATGAAAAGTGGCAGAGCTGAGATTTGAACCCAGGGCCTTTGACTTCAAACCTTGCTCTTTTCTGCTGTATTGCTGATGCCTCTCTGTCCTGTATAAGAGGAAAACAATTTTGTTGTCCGCACACCAGTTTTGCTCTGTTAGTAGTACCCTTTGGGTAAGGCTTATTCACTTAGATTAATAATCATTTTTTTCTTAACAGATCACAAAGGCTGACTTGGAACAACGCCATCCTCAACTTGATTATGTTTTTACATTGGCACAGAACTTGAAAAATAAAGCTTCCAGTTCAGATGTGAGGACAGCAATCACAGAAAAATGTACGTTTAAAAAAATTTATATATCATCTTCTTTCTCTGAAAATGGTAACACACACACATTTTCACAGATTATTCAACCAGAAATTAATATTATTTGATATTTGATACTCTTAAACTACAGTTTTCCTTTGATTTTTACTTTTTGTGGACCTTGTTACTATTCCTATATGAATTCCTTAAAGTGTTAACATTATTACTTTTAAGTAATTACTGGTACATTGGATTTTTTTTCTTTTAAGTTAAGATTTCTTTTTATTTTTAGTTTTTTAAAAAATATGTATGTATGTATGGGAGACAGAGAGAGTACATGCATGTGAGTGGGGGGAGGGGCAGAGGGAGGGGGAGGGAGAGAATCCCAAGCAGACTCCGACCTGAGCTCGGACACCAATGTGGGGCTTGATCCTCTGACCCTGAGATCACGACCTGAGCCAAAACCAAGAGTGGGACACTTAACCGATTGAGCCACCCAGGCGCTCCAAGTTAGGATTCCTCTTAAAGGAATCAAAAAACAAAAGTTAGAGAAAACATTGGAATGCAAACCCATGCTTCCATTATAATTAATTAATAAAACCAGATCTTGCTATGTCTTTTAACTTCTCTTCTCCAAATTCATTCCAAAAAGAATTTATTGAGCAACACATTTGTACCTATGGGCCTGGTACTAATTTGGGAATGATTAAGTTAAAAGCAAAATAAAACAAGACAAAAAATAAATGTACACAACAACCACAGCAAAGATCCTTGTTTCATTTTGCTTTCTGACTTAAAATCATCTGTTAAATCTGTATGGCATATAAAACAAAGTCTAAATTCTCAAAAATGTCATATAGGGATAGTCACAGCCTGCTTTCATCATCCCCTCTCCCATACAGCCCTCCACCCATCTGTAGCTATTCTATATTTTAGATATTCTTTAAAATGTCCTGGTAGTTCCTAATTATTTGCATTATTTTTTTTCTCTTGGCCTTTTCTCCCCTGGTAAAATTCTACTCAGTAGCTAAAATGTCACCCCCTTTGTGAAGTCTTTCCCACCCTCTACTGGTCCCTGGTGAACTGTATTTTCTATCTTTAGTTCCTGCTGTGGCCTTTCCCCCCATAATGTCAGTGTAGATCTCACAATTATTTTGATTTTCTCTCCCATAGATGGTAAATATTCACCTTTCTGGCCCTGGGGCCTCCCACAGTGTCCAATACAAATTAAGTACTTAATAAATATTTGTGGCAGACTATAAACTGGAAGGTATTTTATTACCTTGTCTAATAGTTCTGAAGAGAAGAAAGTCAAAAGTATGTTTCGATTTTAATATCAATGTGACAGCAGCAATGTTATTGGAAGAAATGAGTTAGCAGAGAACTTTGTGTCTCTTTTAATGTTGGTTTATTTTTTACTACATAAGCCATTTTCCTTCTTTCTCCCTCTTTTTTTTTAAGAAAAGATTTATTAATTTATTTGAGAGAGAGAAGAGAGCATGAGCGGGGAGAGGGAGAGAGAATCTCCAGCAGACTCCCTGCTGAGCACTGAGCATGGAGTCTGACACGGGGCCCCGATTCCATGACCCCAAGATTATGACCTGAGTGGAAATAAACCAAGAGTCGGTTGCTCAACCTACTGCACCCCCAGGTGCCCCATTCCTTTTTTTTTTTAAAACATTTTATTTATTTATTTGATGGAGAGAGAAAGCACAAGTAGGCAGAGCAGCAAGCAGAGGGAGAAGGAGAAGCAGGCACCCCACTGAGCAGAGAGCCCGATGTGGGTCTCGATTCCAGGACCCTGGGATCATGACCTGAGCTGAAGGCAGACGCTTAACTGACTGAGCCACCCAGGAGCCCCATCCCCCCCCCTTTTTTTTTAATTGATGGATTCCTTGTGCCTGTTCTGGAGTGATTCCATTTCCTGTTACATGGCAGAAGAGCTTCTCTTCTTTAGTGACACCAAACTATTTACAAAGTCCTCTCCATTTTGCTTTTTCTACCATTTTATTTATTTATTTATTTTTTACCACCTCCTATTTGTCCAAACTTTCTTTTAAGGTTTTTGACAAGACTTTTCTTTCTTCTTCTGAATATCTTCCCTTTCCAATTTAACTCCCTCTCTTTGTTTTCTCTCCTTTTTTTATTTGCATAGAGGCTGCATAATCTTTGTCATTATTCATCATATGAAAAAAATATTCTCAGCAGGAGTGTACTGCCTATAATAACCTGCTTTTAGCACTTGTTCACAAAGAATAGAACAACTTGCTTATTTTTAATGATAAGCTTGTGATATGTGCTCTCACTTGATGTCTTTCATTTTATTTGTTCAATATTAAAGGATTCTATTAGTAATAGCATTGGTCATAAGTACTTTAAGTAACTTTTTAACTGACAAGTAGAACATTATGATAAATTCATTCTTTCTTTAAGTGAAAAACTTAGGCAATCTATTTAAACTGTTGAACAAGGCATCTTAAAACAGATAAATTCAATGAACAATTTAAAAAAATTATTATATATAAGTGTAATTTTCAGTGTTCTGAACAATCTTAAATTGATCACTCTTATGGCTTGCTATAACCTTTTGTTATCCCAAGAATTTTACCAATAGGTCCCAATAGGACTTAGCTGCAATGTTATTTTATAGTTCAGTTCTTGCTGGCCCAGTATTCAACTATTGCTCTACAGTCTGTGAGACATCCAAAGCATCTTCTAGAAGTTTATTTTTAATTTCCTACCTACTTACTATCAGTGGGTTGTTGAAGTCATTCAAAGCTATTGTTGACTAGTGCTTCAGCTCAAGATCTTGAACTACTCATGAAGTAATTAGTCAAAAGTTTAAGTTTCTTTAGATCTTTCTTTAGCTCCATGTTGAAAATGAGAAGAGGACAGAAGGTAGGGAAGAAAAAGGGAGGAGAGTAGACAGAAGAGAGAGAAAGAAAAATAAACAATAAAAAGGAAAGAAGAAAAGAAGTAATGTGGATTTTTTTTGTGGTAAAGAGCTACTGGGTACATAGAACTTGAATCTAATTTGCTTTTAGTGTTTCTCTTGAACGTATAAAAATACTTTCTTTTAGACAGGTTTCATGCTACAGTAAAACAAATATGAAAAGTATTCTTAGATAGATTTTTTCCTTGTAAAATCTTGACAACCTTAGAATATCTCCTTTGAGGATGACAAGTGACTGCATCTGTGTCTTAAAGTTCTGTCATAAAGTATTGTTACACTCTGCCTTCATCAAACCAGGCTCTGTGAATATACATTAGATAGGAATTTATTTTCTTTAGAATTTTTGGTTTATCCATAGTAGATATTTTTATTGTGAGATATTTCAGGGCATTTAAAATAGAATTTAATTCAAGATTCTTCTTCAAGAATAGTCTCGGAAATGTATCAGTTGTGTAGGGTGGCAGACATGTATTAAATTCCCTTAAAATGTATATACCGACTTGCCTTCTTTTTCTTTCCTATTTATAACCTTACTTATGAGAAATTTGGTATCAGGTATTTTTCCCCTTTCCTGATCGTTAGTTTCTGGGATTATTTTTATATGCCTCCTCCAGTGGAAAAGGTCAAGAACCAGTGGGACAGCACTCAGCATGGTGTTGAGTTAAGACAGCAGCAGCTGGAGGATATGATTATCGACAGTCTTCAGTGGGATGACCACAGGGAGGAAACCGAGGAACTTATGAGAAAATATGAGGCTCGACTCTATATTCTCCAACAAGCCCGAAGGGATCCACTTATCAAGCAGATTTCTGATAATCAAGTAAGACTCTTTAGATTTGTGTTTTTTTGGCATTATCAGTTTGTTGGATGTACTTTTTTGTTCTGTTGTTAACTGTAATCTTTAGGACCCTTGTCATGATGTTTTCACAAGTGCTTAGAATATACATTGAAATTTATATAAAGAATTTGACCAGGAAGGTTTTTGAAAAATTTTGGGAGGTGTAACAAGTAGAAATATACCGGTATACCAGATATATCGCTTACTGACTCTTTGCAAATGGAACACAACCATGAACCAGCATCTAGAAAGAGAATATTTTCAGGATCTTGGGAACCCTCCTTTTGCTCTCTTCCATGTCTACCCTGAAGCTTATTTTTATTTATAAAATTTTCCGAGATTTTCATTTGAGGCTACTGTACTGAACAAATCAGGTAATAAGTTTAGTTTCTTTTAATAGTTTTATAACCAAACTGTTTTATCTATATCGTCAGAATAAGTAACTTTTTCATTGGTTTGAATATAAAGTTGATGATATTGAACATTAATGGTATTTTTTAAGTGCTATTTTAAATTCTCTCTATAATTACAGAAAATATTTTTGAATTAGAGGTTATAGTTTTTAGGTTATATTTTGGCATAACATTTATTTACCCTTCAGAGAGCCTAAGATGAAAGTGTACATTTGTAAAGAATATATGGGAAACAAAATCTAAAACATGAGAGCATGTTTTTATAATTCACACATGTAGAAGTTCCATGGTTACAATTTAAAAATGAAGTGGCCAGGTGTCCTGATTTTGTGGATCATTTTCTGTGTTTATGACATCTGCTGATTGTTTTCACCAAATGACTCAAATATAATAATCAGCAAAGCCCTAGGAAACTTAACTAGAGAAATACAATTAAAAGTGAGATCAATGCTTCAATCATCGGGTATTCAGAATGTAGCTTTCTTTTTTTTTTTTTCTTTTTTTTTTTTAGATTTTATTTATTTATTTGACAGAGAGAGACACAGCGAGAGAGGGAACACAAGCAGGGGGAGTGGGAGAGGGAGAAGCAGGCTCCCCGCAGAGCAGGG